GTGGTGGTGGAGCACAGTGTCAACCACGGGGCCTGGTTGAGACTGGGAGGGATTGGGGCGTACTGGGGGAGTCTGGTTGTAATGGGGGGAGGAAAGGGATGAGGTGAGAGCGTCTGTTTGATACTGGAAGGGACTGGGGCATACTGGGAGGTTCTGGTTGTGACGGGTTTTGGGAGTGGGATGTGATGGGAGTGTGTGGGTGATACCAGGGGAGACTGGGACATGCTGGGAGGGTTTGTGATGTTCTTGGCAGGGGAGGGGGGGTATCAGAATATGTAGGGAAGATCCTTGTTGATACTGGGGGAAAACTGGGCCAAGCTGGAGTGTTCTGGGCAGTGGAGAAGGGGTGAGAGGCTGGGCTCTGGGAAGGTTCCTGGCCATCCCATGGGCACTGGGGATGCTGGGCAGGCTGGGGGTGTCACTGATGCTACGGGGAGGAAGTGACTAAATCATGTATTTTTGGCCCAGCAGCTCCTACACAGCTGTGGTTGAAGCCTTTTTCACTGCTGCAGATTCCTCCATCGCTGCTTACTACCTCTTCGCTCCCACACCGGCCCTGTCCTTCCACTGAAATTATTCTTTTTCCCTTCCCAACGTATTTTCACACTTTTATTTAGAGCCTGCGGGCAGCAATTCCTTTGCAGCTACGCTCGATAACCCCCAGCTCTTGGTCCGTGGGTAGGACCGGTCGCCTGGATCAGTCCTGTGGCTTTATCCGAAATGGCGACTCGCCATCGCCCTGTCTTCACCAAAGCCGTTTTCACCAGGGTTCGGCTTGGTTGCAGCGCTGCCCACCCAGGGAATACCTCTCCTGCTGCGTTTTAGGAGCACGTAAGCTTTTTTGGGACCCTCGTGGTTGCCTGTCTCAAGCTGAACCCCCGAAATCTCTGCTTTGGCCTGTAGAAGCTCTGCTCCAGCAGGCAGTTGCTGTTTTTTCACCCAAATACATTGCCTTGCTTGCCTTTCTGGTGTTCTTGCTTTGCTTCTTTCTGTTCCTCTGACTCACGAGGTCCGCGGGTGCTGGCTGTATGCTTTAATCCCTTCCCAAGAGCAGACCCCTCTGAAACCCTTTGGTTTAAACCAACCAGCAGTGGTGAATCCCTCCTGGCCCCCAGTAAGTCTGGCATCTTGTTCCACTGCTCTTCTGATTAACATCCCCCCATTGTGGTGGGCCTCAAGGGGCTCCCACGTAGTTGTACCCAGTGCTGTGGCAGGTAGGAAGCCCTAAAACCCCTTGGTGACTTTCCTGTAGCTGTCACATGGTGCCAGAAAACACTGAATTTATCATCCTTCCTGAATTCATCGTGGCAAGTCAGCTCGGGTGTGCTGGATGTCCAGACAGCAGCACAGGCAGCCATAATATTTGCCTTTTTCGGAGCCAGGGGAAGCGTGTTTCCAACAAAAGGCTGGGCATGGGGCTCTTTACCACCTGCTTGTGCGAGTCTCCCCCTCAATTTCCCCTGCAAGCTGTGCCCTGTGTCCATGTCCTTCTCCAAGTCCATTCTGTGCTGTCCCTTTCTACCCATGCAGGCAATTCCCTCTTTTAACACCTGGATTTGAGAGCAGGGGGACCTGAGACAGCGAATTTGTTCTTCTCTCCGCTTCGGGAGGGCTTTCTGATCCCTCCTGCCCAGTGTCACCTTGATGTCTCAACCCAAAGGGAAGGGCTCTACAGTCTCTGGATGAGAGTCCTGGCCAAGAATTGGTCCAAATCCATCCAAGAAAAGCAAGTGTGCCCTGGTAGAGGAGGGTAATCCTGAGCCCTCTTCTCAGCTTCCAGTGTTAATTGTGCAGTGAAGGCTCAGGGCTGGGCAGTTTAAACAGTGGGAGCATCTTGTGAGTGCCTGCCTCAGCAGGGGACAAAAAGTGGTTGTCTCAGTTCATCTAAATAGGAATTTCTGCTGCTTTGGGGTTTTTACTGGCTTTTTCTACTTATGGCCTTCTCATTTATTCAACTTGCCGCCCCCTTCACCTTTTTCTGTTTATAATACATTCAACTGTCACCTTCATCTCCTCCCTTTTCAATGTGGGATTCCTCGGCTTTGTTTTATTGGTGTATCCCATCCCCGTGCTCCTGCATTACCCTTTGGGCTGACGTTACTCACTCTGTGCCAGTGAGACCAAATCGTGCCTGGAAACCCTCTCACTTTGGCCATGGATTCCCTTCTCTGCGCATTGAGACCCGGCTGGAGGTGGAAGATGCGGGTGAGGAGCAGGGTTTCTTGGAGCAACTTTTACTCATTAAGCTTTAATGGGCTCAAAGTGGTTATTAGTAGCGTTTAGCTTGTTCACTCATAGCTCACCCCCTTGCCTTCCCTTGCAGTTGTTTGGTTGAAGCTCCATCTCCAGCTGCAGCAGGCTCCCACTGATATTGGGGTGCTGGGAGAGTTTGGAAAATCCCTTGGAAAGACCCTATCACGTCACCAGATGTCTGTAATCCCGTGGGCTCCCATCTGTTCATAGCAGCCAGTGAGTTATACCAAATTACACGCCCCCGTCGCAGATGCCAGCGTGGTCCAGTAGCCTTGGGCAGACTCAGCGGGGTCTTTGTGCCCGGAGTTGATTGATTCTTGTGGGTCCAACTGCAGGTCTCCAGCACTTATCAGTCCTTGGGAGGCTTTGGCACCCTGCCTTCCCAGCTTGTATCGTTCCTTTCTTCTGTTTTTTTTATTCTCTGGCAGCCGTCTCCCTGCTTATGCCTGTGGGAGTCCCTTCTCGGGTGCCTTTAGGGCAGTTGTATGTCTGGCTTTGTGGCAGCTCCCTCGCCGTGTTGACATCAGGTCAGTGGGAACACTCTCTTCTGTGCAGCGTGGTGCTTGGAGGCTCTTAAAGCATCTGTTTATCCTGATGTCCCCTCCACCCTGCTGCCTCTCACCGGGATGTCTGGGGACATGGAAGGCGAGACAACCACCTGAATTTAGGTGCTTACGATGAAGACCTTCTTGTTTTAGCTGGTCACTCTTGTCTGTGCATCAGGCCTTCGTGGGGTGTGATTTCACATGGGATTTCGGGAGACAGATCGTGCTTTAGCCTTCTTCCCCTTCCTTAACTAAACTGATCCATGTGCGGCGTCCTGAGTGGGGACAGCAAATCCAGCTCAGGGGATCCTCAAGGTGAATGTTGGAGCCCAGCGTCTCTTGTTGAGCTGCACAACTGCTGAACAGACTCTGTAGGTATTGGCAGGCTTGGATGGAGCTTGAAAAAGACACTGGCCTAAGAGAGGAGCATTTGTTGAGAAAGTGATGTGAAAAACCACCCTGATACGCTCCGAAGCCGAGTTACACTGTTGAATCTCCAGGAGCTGGGGACTGAATCCCTCTATGCATCCACTACCTGTGCCTGGGGCAGTTCTGACAGCCCCTTGTTGCAGAAGGGGGGGTCATGTAGGCACCTAGGAAGACCAAACACCCTCTGAGGAGCTTTTCAGACCCCTGCCTGGAAGCTGCTGGCCAGCTGGTGTGGCTCTTGACAGCTGGGGACACGGCTGAGGCTGGTCCCTCAGCTGTTGCTCCGACCAGGCAATTATGAGCAGGCCCTGCAAGGAAGTGAATTGCTCACTGCTGTGAATACCAGCTACTTTTGGGTACTAGTAACAGGCTTATGGGTAAAAAGGCTTTTAAGTGCTGATCTGGGCTGTTTCTCTGACACTAAGTCTGCCTATGGCTTTGATCCCCCAAAGGGGAAAGGGATTGGTGATGCCAGGTTTTACAAACTCTGTATTGTCTGTCTCTTCTCCCTCCCTAGAGTCTCCCTCCCTTGCTATATATCTGTATCTCTCTCTGACCTCTCTCCCCGCTGCTGCCACCCACGTCTTCATCTTTACTCCTCCTCTCTCACCGCCCCGCTCCAGCTTGTTGCTCCTCTCACGCTCTCTCCTTTCTCATTTTTGCAGGGCCTGCCATGGAAGGGCAGTCAGGCCCTCTGGCCTGCGAGCCCCCCTTTTCCCAGAGGCTATCCCCGCTTTCTGAAGGAGGTGGGCCTGAAGGTGAAGAGGAGCAGGAGGAGGCTCAGGAGGAGGACACAGATGGGACGCAGCCAAGAGAAGAGCTGGGGGAAGACTCCCTGGAGCAGCTAGGACAAGCTTCTCCACGCCACTTGGGACGATGCTGCCGCAGGCAGGGCGCTCTCACCCCTCGGGGTGCAGGCAGACCCTGCCAGAAAACTGATGAGGATGAGGGGGCTTCCCCGTGCCACCAAATGCCGGTGGAGCTGCGGCCATGCCGGCGGAAGCACCGGCTGTGCCTGAAGCCTGAGGCAAACCGCGCCCCTGCGTCCCCAGGACATGGGGAGAGCACCGAAGAGCCAGGACCCTCCCGGGGGAAGAGGCTGCGGTTGATCTGGGGCCGGACAGGTGACTTCAGACAGAGGGTAATGGAGAACGGACTGGAGAAGTCACCGCGGAGCGGCGAGGAAGAGGAGGAGGAGAGAGGATCTCGGTCCTGCTCCCCGGAGTTGCCCCTTTCTGCTGATGCCCGTCCCAAGCCAGACTTTGTGCAGCTGATCGACGAGCGTGGCATCTACTCCACTGCCAAGCTGGTGCTGGGGAGCGCAGTGGGCGAGCTGGAGGAGGTGGCAGTGGGGCTGCCGGCCCACCCAAAGCGGGGAGCGAGTGGCATCGGCGAACTGGAGATCCGCGAGGTGATTGTGGATGAGAAACCCTTCCAGTGCAACGTCTGCGAGAAGGCCTTCAAGCGGGCCTGGGAGCTCTTCAGCCACGAGGTGGTACACAACGAGGAGCGTCCCTTCCGCTGCGACCTTTGCCAGGCCTCCTTCAAGCGCCACTCGGACTTCAAAAGCCACCGGTTGGTCCACACAGAGGAACGACCCTTCCGCTGCGAGCTCTGTGGCAAGCGCTTCAAGCGTTCCTCCAACCTCCAAGAACACCGGCGCATCCACAGCGGTGAGCGTCCCTTCCGCTGCCCCCGCTGTGCCAAGAGCTTCAAGACCCCCTACGAGCTGCAGCGCCACGCTCTCACCCACTGCGCCGAGAAGCCCTTCAAGTGTGCTGACTGCGGGAAGGACTTCCCCACCTCCAACGCTCTCCTCCTCCACCAGCGCCAGCACTGTGACGACAAACCCCACGTCTGCGGGGTCTGCGGCAAGAAGTTCACCTACGGGCACAGCCTCAAGGTGCACGAGCGGGTGCACACGGGCGACCGCCCCTTCATCTGCCCGCTCTGCGGCAAGGGCTTCAAGCAATCCAATGCCCTCTCCTCCCACGAGCGAGTGCACACCGGTGAGCGCCCTTTCGTCTGCAAAACCTGTGGGAAGGCCTTCAAGCAGTCGTCCTACCTGGTGATCCATGAGCGGGCACACACGGGAGAACGCCCTTACAAGTGCGAGGTGTGCGGGAAGGCCTTTGCCCGGCCCTCCTTGCTCCTCCAGCACCACCGTGTGCACAGCCAGGAGCGGCCCTATAAGTGCAGCTTCTGCCACAAGTTCTTCAAGGACCTGGCCTACCTGGCCGTGCACGAGAAGGTGCACACAGGTGAGACCCCCTACAAGTGCAGCGTCTGCGACAAGGGCTTCGCTCACCCCTCCAACCTGCTGCAGCACCAGCGCGTGCACCGTGATGGTTGAGCCCTGGCACGGTGAGCGCAGCCACGGTGTTGCCAGGCCATGGTGGCCGTGAGCACGCTGCCACCAACATCAGACGAGCCCGAGGCTGGGGAACGCCGTATGTGCGCCCGAGGACCGGTGTGGACCCCTGAAAAGCTGTGGTGCTTCTCCTGAGCCCCAGCCCTTTGCTGAACCTGGACCCACGCTGTGCTCTCCTCCTCCCTCCATGGGGGTGATCCCAACAGGACCCTCCTTGAGCCCGTGGGCTGGGGTGGCTGCAAGCTCCTGGTGGGCGTGGCATGGCTCGTGGCATGCTGTGGTTTGTGGCACACCACCAGTGGGCAGGCAGGAGCCCTCTTCAGGGAGAAGGGCTGAGATCTCCCCCCTAAGTCATCCCAAGATCCCTCTCCCCGGTCATCCCAGTGAGCGTGGCTCAGCCTGGGCTGGGGGCACATTGGGGACAGACTTGCCTGTTTTTTGGGGAGGGGGATAAGACCACGGTACGGGTAGTGGAAAGGATCATGGGGAAGAGTGAGGAGCAGGCACCTCTCTTTCCCCCTGAAGCCTTTTTGAGTTTGAAGTGTCCCGTCCATATCTCATGCTGCTGCTAATGACCCAGTTAATCACCCCCTGTTTTTCTGCCCCAGGGTGCTGGTGGGTCTGGTAGGGAGCAGGAGAAAGGGGGGGTACATGCTGCTGCCATCCACTTCGGGAGCCTCAGGAAAGCGATGCCCAGCACTGCAAGTTCTTCTCCAGCTGCTCCTGGGCCTTTCCAGGCAAGAACCCGGACAGGGTACGGGCAAGCGAGACACGACCAACCCCCTGTATCATCCTCCTCCTCCTCTCTCGCTTCCTGGAGCTACCCCTGCGCTGCTGCCAGAGCCTGGATTTGTCCCCCTTTGGCTGATGGCTGCTGGGCAGAAGGTGGCACATGGACCTTTGCTTGCAAGGGCGAGACAAGAGCCATGTCCTCACCCGTGCTGATGCCCTTCTGCTGTCCCTCAGACTCCTGGAGATCCTGGGTCCCACCACGTCCCCCCTTTTCATATGGTCCCTGTAGCGCTGGGAATGGGGGGGTGGGATGTGCGCGCTCCTTGGCGCTCTGCACACTAATTACAAGATGGTTATTTAACAACGGCTCTGTCTCGTCACCTCTTCCAGCTTGCAGCCTTGTCCGGCTGGGTCTTGACATGGGCTTTTGGTGCTGGTACAGTCCTTGGTGCTCCTGCGTCTTTCCCACCCAGTACCTTCTCACAGTGTCCTTCAGACATGAGTGGGAGATCACCTAACGTGTTGCCAGCAGATGCGGTAAGGAGAGACCCGCCAAATCCCAAAATCCCAGGTGTGGGGTGGATCCCATTTGGCATTGCTAAGCCCGCACCCCACAGATGGGTGCAAGATGGGCCAGCAAGCGGCCTTTGAGACTTGGGCTGGTGGATTCCCCACCAAAGATGGTTGTGGGCCTCCTGGTCATCCTGGTCTTCTCTCCTGCCCCACAGCTTCCAAACTTCCTTGCATTTCAGCCCTTGAGACAGCACTGGGGCAGCTCTGGCCTCTTTGTAAGGCTGTTCCTGGCTGCAGGTCATGAGGTTGTGATTTGATTTTGGGGTTGAGCCTGTCCCTGAACATTCTCTTTAGCCCAGCTGGTGGTGGACATATCTCAACAGGTTCCCATCCTGGGTTCTGCTTTGTCCGCATGTCCCTGTGGTGGCACGGAGAGGGTGTCCAAGCAATTGTTGAGGCTGCATTCAACTGCTGAGGCCATCAAAGATGATCTGGGGTACCCACTTGTCTGGGGTGATTGAGGTGATTGAGGGGATCTCAGATGGCACTAGGTAGGTGGTAGCTAGACTCCGTGCTCTCATGGTTGGACAAGCCCTAGCCTTTGATGGGCATCCTGCCCTGTGGAATCTCCAGTCTTTGGCATCCTGGAGGCCAAAGGGAGATTTACCTTCCTGACCTGCTGTATTTTGGATACAGGGAGAGGACCATCTCTGGTGGTGCAAGCCGCAGAGTGGCTGCTCCCAGAGACGCCTGTCTTGGAATTAAGGCTTTTCTTATGTGCTGGGATGATGCGTTGCGTGGTCACCAAGCAATGGTGGTCACCAAGCAATGGATAAGGTCACCAAGCGATGACCTTAAGGCCAACACCACGTTGGTAGTTGGCAAGGAAAGGGATGGACTCACTGCTGGAGGAAATTATTTCAGGTTTTATATGGCTTGGTTGTCCTTCAGACCCTCTGCTCCCATCTCAGCTGTGGCCTGGGGGGGTCATCTCATGCTGGTGCTGCCCAGCTTTTCCAGTCCACTTTGAGATGTTTGCTCCAGCACCTGGTGAGCTCCTGGAGTTTCTCAGGTGGGATTTAGGGAACAGCTTCCCCTGGGCTGAGGAACACGGGGGCTCATATCGAGGGCTTTCAGTTTATTTCTGAATGTGGTGGACCCCAAGCAGCCCTGACTCTGATTTTGCTCCTAATTGGGGGACAGTGCTCTTCAGTCCCTCTGAAGTGTCACAGGAAAAAGGAGAAACATGGGGAAACGTGGAAGAACCTTCAGTTCTTTACCTTTCCCAGTTTTGGGATGTCATTCATCGTTGGGGAAGCTGGAGAGAAGACTGGGTACTGTGTACCCACATTTACTTCAGTCTCTGGCAAGGAAGGCATCAGTTGCTTTGGCAGACACCATCTCCTGCTGTTGGGACCTCTGCTTGTTGGGCCTCCTGGCCTCCCTCCCACCATCCCAGCTGCTTTGGGGGCACAACCCTCGGTTTGCGAGCCTGATGAACCCTGAGGCGAGGCTGAGGGCAGGATCCCTCTGCACAAGGATGCTTTTAGGCATGGGATGCCAGCGGAGAACAGCGAGCTAGCAGGCCAGAGCACATCTTGTGCTCCCATGAACCTCAGCGCGGAGGTTCCCCACGGTTGGGTCCCCAAGGAGTGGAAGCAGGTTGGGTGTGCGGGGCAGGGAAAATGGGGCTCTGTGGCTGCCCCAAAATGCATCCAGGGAGGATGGCTCAGTATTTGGGGTTGTGGGGTAAAGCGCTTTGCAGCTCTGGCACCTGGGATGGTCAAGAAATGGGGGGACTTGCTTCCATCCAAGGTCTGGGGGAAGCTGTGGCAGAGCAGCCCAAAAGCAGCTCATGTCCCACCCCCCAGCACTCACACCCGTCACACCTAGAGGGTTCAGGAACCCCTTTTAATTCGTTTGCACCACTCCTGTTCTTTTAGCTGAGCCTTGCACCGGTTGCCAGGTTTGTTGTGCTCCTTCTGCACCATGGGGGCTGCTCGGAGGGTGTGATGGTGGGTTAAATAAACATCACCAGACCGGGAGACCCCAGCCTTTGCCGGCTATTTTGGGGTTCCTGATGTAAGTCATTGGTACCAGCTGCTTTCAAAATGTTCTGCCCATCAGCTGCTGATTTGCAGTCTGCAGATTAGGGAAAAGGGAGGGGGCAGCGGGAGCCTGGTGTGACCCCCCCCGCCTCCCAGGCATGAGCTTCGGGGGGAGCTGGCATCATGGGGCAGCGTCTTCCGTCATGAGCTGCATCGTCTCAGTGTCAGCATCCTCAGGGGCTTCTGCCTTGGTGGGGAGATAGATGGCCCCCGCAGGTTGGAATGGTGTTGCTGAAGCGCTCTGGTCCCCAGGGTGCCAGCGGGCTGTGAGATGGAGGGGACACCAGGCTGTCACCAGGCTCTGGCAGCTGCTGAGCTGATTCCCCTCTCCGTGTCCCTCTGGGTTTCGAGGTAACGAGCAGGGACTGGGAGTTGGGGAGGGGACACATGGGGATGGGACTGTCACCTCCAGCCTGGGCTACTGCCATGCACCTCCTCTTCAGGTTGAGCCACAGCAAGATTCCGCTCAAGAGCATCACTAGGGCCAGCAGTGCTATCAGCACCGAGCAGGATGGTGAAGCACCTGGGGTTGGGGGGAGAGTAGACTCAGGATCCCATTTCCAGTCAAGACCAGTAACAGCATGCAAGAAAACACCACCGGACGCAGCCTGACCTCCTCCAGCAGCTCAGCTGGTGCAGAGATGGACTTTCCTTAATTATGCTTTACATTAAGACCTATTTCCCCAGGTGGACGATGGTGTGGGGGGGTTAGAGTGACCTTCCATATTCCTGATGCTCTTACAACCTCCATCACCTCTCCAGTGCGTTGTCCCGCTTTGGATTTGGGGTGCTACATCTCACACAGGCCTCCTATCCTCTATCCTTCAGAGTTGTTCCAGCTCTACCACAACCTATCTGAGGAACGAGGGCTGGTCCTGGAGGCAGCCCGGAGGTTTGGGTGGGGGATAAGGAAATTTGGGTTCCAAGAAGAAATGGGAGGGATGAGTGTGTTTTGGGGTCAGTAAAGCATCTCCGATGCTCCCAAGGGTGACGGAAAATGAGGTGCATCCCCCAGGAAAGGCCCTCAAGAGCTTGCCGGGATGAATGCGTGCTGCCTTTCCACTTCTCACCTTGGGTTCTTTTTCCCCCACCCGGCGCAGACACCACGGAGGATCGCAGTGCTTACCCTTCGGCTTTGTGCACACCACTCCGGCTGCTGAGCCCTGCCTGCACGGCCCCAGCCCCATCTCTTTCTGCTGGCACTCCAGGAGCAGCGACTCGGTCCCCCGGCAGCTCAGCCCCTCCAGCAAGGCACGGCCGTTCCCCCGGCTGAGCTGGGCTCCGATGGGTGCCGACTGGGCTGGCCCGCAGCCCAGCTGCTTGCAGACCACCTCGGCTTCCAGCAGGCCCCAGCCGCTGCTGCACACCCCGTGCCAGGTAGCGTTGTAGAGCACTTCCACCCGCCCCGCGCAGGGACCGGGACCATCCTGCACTCGCACCTGCAAGGGGTTTGTGCCTGCAAGAGGGAGCAAAGGCGGTGAGACGGCCTCTCTGAGCCCGCAGGCAGATGGAGAGGGGTGTGCAAGGCACATACGTGTGCAAGGATGGGTGTGCGTGCCATGTGCCACCTTTACCTGCTGCGCCATTCCACCCTCCCAGCTCCCTTCAAAGGTTCATTCCCATCACTGATGTCCCACCAGCACTGCCAGCCTCCCAGTCCCAGAAAAAAACCTTTTTGGGGGCATCTGAGCATTCTCCCCAAGGACCACCTGAGCACACAACTCCTGCGTCTTCCTCGTGGTTGCAGTTATGGAGTCCCCAGTTCCTAAGGCCACACTGGAAGAAGGTGGTCTCCATGCCAGTGCACTCCACATCATCCAGCCAGATGGGGTCCAACCCTTGCCCAAAGTGAGCATGGCCTGGGGCTGACACAGCTGTCCCGCAGCCCAGCTGCCGGCAGATCACCTTGGCGTCCTTCAAATCCCAGTTGTCATCACAAATGGTCCCCCACCGCTGTTCGTGAAGAACCTCCACTCTACCAGCACAGCGGTTTGGGCCATTGGCCAAGCGGACCTGTGTCTCCGTGACGTTGGCATCTGGCAGGAGAGATCCGGTTAGGAAAGGAGAACAGGGCACCCATCACCTTGCCAAAAAAAAAATTTCCTAAACCAGAAGTCAGAGTGCAAATACAGAGTCGTCATGGTCCCCCCCAGCAAGGGATGCAACCCCCCTGCAACCCTTCCAGAGGAGCATGGCTGTAGGGATAGACTTCAGTTGCACCTTCATACCCTAAGATGATGGTGTCTTCTCCATGCAAGCGTATGGACCAGGCAGTGGAAACCAGGCTGGGGATTTGGGGTCAGGTGGTCCTTTCAAGACAGGGCTTGGCTCTCTTAGTGCCATGGGGAGGCGGGGTGTGAAGGTTTTGATGAGGTGTTGGTTATGAATGGGGTGGGAGCCTGTTGCTGAGTTGGGGAGAAGCCTGGCCAAAAAGAGGCTACGACCCTTTGCCAACCCCCCTCGCCCCCAAAAACATGCCTTTCCAGGGCTAGCATCACCCCAGAGGCAGCCAGATGCAGGATAGAACCTCCTGTCCCCCCACCCCAGATGCCCTGTATTGCTCAGCATGTACCTGAGCACACCACGCCGGCGTCTTCTCCATGGTGGCAGTTACTCTGTCCCCAGGGACGGGCTCGGCACTGGGCAAGGTTGTCCTCGTTGCCGGTGCAGCTCACGTCATCCAGCCAGATGTACCCCGTCCCCTGCCCGAAGTAAGCCCGGCTGTGGACCGCTATGACTTTACCGCAGCCCAGCTGCCGGCACACTACCGTTGCATCGTTCAGGTCCCAGCCGTCATCGCAGACCGTCCCCCACTGCCCGGCGTGCAGCACTTGTACCCTCCCGCTGCAGCGGTTCGGTCCTCCTGCCAGGTGAACCTCTGCTGCCTCTGCCCTGGCTGGGTCTGCGGGCAGAGAAGCAGGCAAAGCAGCGTTGAGGACAAGAGGACCATGTGTCCAGAGGAGGCTTTCGGGTGGCAGCAACCAGGGTGCAAACTTAGGGCAGATGCCCAACCACGGTGGAATGGGAGGACAGATCCTGAGCCCTGCCTGCAGATATGTGCAGGCAAGCATGGCCCTTGGGGCTTCATAAGCACTACGAGGCACTTAGGTTTGGCCTCCAGACTCAGTCCCTGATGAGGAAGGGGAGAAATAAATTCCTTCTCTTGGAGCATTGCTGGGACCCAGCAGAGTCTCAGTGCAGCCCCCATCCCAAACTGGGCATCAATGTCTTTTTTTCCCCTTCCCTGCTTAGCTGTGCCAAGGGCAGTTGGATCGGGATAGCTCCACAGGCTACTGGGGTGTGGGGATGGGGGCCAACACCATCTGCCAAGGAGATGAGCGCCCATGCCCTTGAAATCTCCTTCCTGCAGCCAGTGCTTCTGGGGTCGCGTTGGAGAGGAAAAGGTGCTTTTTTGGGGGGTGGGGGTGGGCGCCGTGGGAGGGGAGGGCAGCTCCAAGCTGTGCTTTTAGGACACTTCAGCAATGAACATCACCTGAGCAGATCACGCCGGCGTCCTCTTCGTGGGTGCAGCTGTTGATCCC